TGAGCTCAATAGTTTCCTCACTAATCATAGGAGTCATATACGAATCGAGAAAATTACGAGAAGTGGACAGAAACTAACAAAAATTCTCCAAATTTTCCTCAAAGTTTTGATATTGCATGCAAATTTTTCCATGTGCAAATTTTACCACACTGATCAATACTATGGTCATAAATCACCATACACTGTCTTGTCTACGTATCAATACTAATAGCCATAAATCATCATACACTGTCTTGTCTACGTATCAATACTAATAGTCATAAATCACCATACACTGTCTTCTCTACGTATCAATACTAATAGTCATAAATCATCATACACTGTCTTGTCTACGTATCAATACTAATAGTCATAAATCACCATACACTGTCTTCTCTACGTATCAATACTAATAGCCATAAATCACCATACACTGTCTTGTCTACGTATCAATACTATAGTCATAAATATGTTCGCTCTCCTCAGCTGAGCTCAGGAGTTTCCTCACAATTTCTTCCAAGGGTTAATGTGTATCATAACCAACTCGAATTTCCAACAATTTCCTTCTCATCACCAACATGCGTAATTCATCATGTGCATATTTTCCCTTCGTCAACCACATGTGCTAAAATACATATTTTTTTAGAAAATTCTCGTTGGTTTCTGCTATCTGGGGGGAACTCCTGAGCTCGGCTAAAAAAAGCGAACATATATTCCAATACTGCCGTTGAACAATCTCTACTTGCCTTCCAATGAGATTCCCTATAGTCTCATCCGGTGCTAAATCGAAAAATTCAACTCATCGCTACTACGAAAATTTCGCAACAGTGTTAGAAAACCAATGCTAATCTCCAGAAATTTTCTCGAAATTTTCATACTATCACCAACGCCAATGGCTAACCATGTGTATATTTCTCGCACTGCTTCTTATTGCTCTCAAAAAAATCTAAAATCTAAACGAAAAAAAAGTGGAAAAAATTCCGAATTTTTACTAGGCATTTTCGAATCATCCACGACCATCTCAAAGTGTAACCATCGATAGCGCAGAAATATCAATAATATCCTGGAGCGTGACGAAGGCGCCCCTTGAGGCACTGAAAGGCTGTCCACAGTCCTGAGATTTCCATGGCTTAATTTCGTGGCGCGTGACGGATTTATGCAACCCGCGAATGCTCAAATGAAAAGCAAATGTTAGTTCGCGTAATATACAAAGTGCTCAAACGAAGAAATCCATCGCTGTGCATTTTTACACGGTAGTTCCCGAGGATTTCAACAACAATAACAACAACAACAACAACAACAACAACATATACAACAACAACAACAACAACAACAACAACAACAACAACAACAACAACAACAACAACAACAACAACAACAACAACAGCAACAACAACATATACAACAACAACAACAGCAACAACAACAACAACAACAGCAACAACAACAACAACATATACAACAATAACAACAACGACAACAACAACATATACAACAATAACAATAACAATGACAATAACAACATATACAACCGCGCGCTCTCAAACGGTGAGAAGCGACCTCAACGAACAACCAAAGTGTGGAGGTATGAGCGTGTTCTATGCACAACACGGCAAACTCAACGAGATATAAAACACTTTTATACACAATTGCTTGATCTTGTAGTTTATGACGACTCAGAATTATGGAAAAATATCAAGGCATATTAAACTAAGAATTCACCCCTCGTCTCCTCAAAAACGAATTTTCACCCGAGTATTACCATAATCAGCCTTGGACCTCCCCAGCGACTTTCGTTGTGATCTGACCAAGGACAACAACTTCAAATTTCATACCAGTTTTCGTTCAACACAGTTGAATAGTTCACTCTAACTGCCAGTTTTCTTCGTAAGAACAGAATTATACATGTTTGGCATGAAAGATTATACGAGTCACAAGTGAAACGTTCATCAACAGCCTTAACCAGTCAAACAAGCAAACAGATCCCGCAGAGAGACGGGCGGTATAATGGTACGTAGTTGAATAGAAAATTTCCGAAAGAGCGATGACATAATTTGTTGAGGTCTAAAGAGGCCAGGGAAATATCTTTTTGTTTGTCGAGTGCACGCGGCAACCTAAGATACGCGAAGATTCGCGAAAGCGATACTTTAGTCACCAACGGAGAAAAATTGGAAAAAGAATTTTTGAGTGAAAATACAAAGTCTGTCGGCATGGTCTGTGAAACCCGAGATGATCAGTCGCGACAGACCACCGTCACTGCGCCACGAAATTCACCCGCGAATGAGTTTATCAAGAAATTTTCTATGATAGAATTTTTCTCAGAAATTCTATCCATATCATAATGAAAGCAGAAATCGACTCTAAGTTCCATGATCACTCAACAGAGCAGTCACTTGAACACTGACTATGATAATCTGACATATAAAACTTCAATTAATCGGATAGTGAACTCTCATCTGCCTTTGGACATGAAATTACAAGAGATAGAATTGAGGATATCTCTAAAATATTTTGACAGTCTTTTCAAGCTAGTTTAGCAAATGAGTATATGAACTCAGAAAGTTGACGAGCATTGGCTTCATCATCTCCCCGTAATACGCACTCTAGCATCGGTGGATTCACACAGTATTCACACACACGACGGCCAACGCTGAACTCAGAATCGACCAAGACATCACGCTAAGATACATAACTTGCCAGCAAAAGAAGATTCAGATTATGTCCAAAATGGTACCACACCAGAGGAACATAACTCTACTCCGATCGGCCGAGTCGCATCGTGAGCGTGATGAACGGTCCTAGATCTCGCTGTTGACATATAAGCGTCGAAGAGTGACCCGTATAGATAACACAAGTCCTCAAGTGCATCAGCCTAGGCTTTGGTAGGTCCTGGTCATCTTCATCAGTGTAGCAAAGACGAAAAGAAGAGTTTAGAATCCAAGTTGGGTAGGCGTTAGTGGTACGCGCGTGTGTCGAAGTATTGGGAAGGCGTGTTCGATACACCTCTTCGGAGCTTCAAGCACGCCCCCAGAATTTCACGGATGTAAAACCTCGATGCTGGGGGCGCTTTAGAAACTGAGAGGAACACTGGAAGTTTTCAGTTTTGACTCACCCAAGGCATAGTAAAAATCTCGCTCGCCCAAAACTCGCTACGCCGGAACTCCCTAAACCCAACGAGAACCCGACCGTACCTCACTACCAACTGGACGCTCTGTTATGCTAGTGTGGTTAGAGATGTTTTAAAGTTTTACTTTCGGCTGAGGCACCGAGCGTTGCAAATTGAAACGGCTATGTGCCCCGGCTTGAACAAGTTCGAGTATTAGAGTAAGGAGGCGCAATAGGTGTGACGCTCGCCTCATCAGTTATGTGGATTGATCGAAAGCAGTGAAGACGCCGTAGTCTCCATGGGGTTTCTATCCACTAATACCGTATCAGTAAGACATGCCGCTGTTGGATTCTGAAGAAAGCAAGAATACTAGGCGATCCGTAGGCCCGCAGCAATATTGGGTACACCACCCCAGCGCCTCACAGAGATATCAGGTGCGCCAGTGAGCCCCGATGGGGAACATGCGACTAGGGGCTTTAGAGTTAGTGATTCAGCCTGGATTCAACATGACCAACGCGAATGTATATGCTCTTCGAGCTTCAAGCTCGACCCAGACGTCCAACTGACTTGTACAAGGCAGTCGGACGTCTGCTCGCCCTGCTTACGAGGGAGCGGCGACTCCGAACCGTCCCGCGTCGTATTATGAGGGGTGGGAATATATCCCCGCTTGTAAGGAATACGATTAGTCCTGTGGTGCGGATGGATGCAATGATTCTACGACTAAAGAGGAGAAGGGAAACTAGCTCGGGAAGAGACAACACATCCAACGCTGTCTAGCATCCTTGAAACACATGGGGAATAGCGCGCTGAGAAAGGCAGAATCTCAACTCTAGCTTTTCCTCTCCTACCGTAGCCAAGAAATTACAGGTTCTATGTCAGATGGATCATTTGACCTTCAAATTTGGAAGTATACAGTCATCGTTGTAACAGTGCAAATCAGTTATATATACCAATGATTATTAGTTACAATACGCGCCATCTAGACACGCGCGAAGTGAACGGGCACTTTTCTCTTTCGTTTTTCAATGAATTTCTACCTAATTCTTTTACCATTGAATTATTGAGTCTCCAGCCTCGGAGATTTCCTTACTTGACCTTATTCAGCCTTATTCTCGACTTGTGCTATTAGCACGTTCGTGGTGGGTAGTCAGGTCTACCTCTGCATTAGAAGCTGCTTGGGCAGCAGAGGTGGTGGAACTCTGGCCAGGGCGGATCTCTTTGGGGCTTGACAACTGCTCTGGGAGGGCCTTTCGATGAAAGCGAATTCGAATGCGTGATCGTAGCTAAGTGTGGAGGGCTGGAGTGGTTTTATACGCGTCCCCCAGGATGCTAGGAGCTCACCAAAGGAGAGTGCGCTAGGGTCGGGGAGGTAAAAATGACGAAAAAACTTTGTCGAGTTTCAAGTGTGTGACTTGGATTCGCGGAAAATGAAGCATGGGGTCCACATGCTTGATCATCCGTAAATGATGGGGAATTCAATGGTAGAAGAAAATTGGTTTGAATTCGTCAAAGCGAAAGAAAAATGTTCCCGCCCAGTTCGCACGTTTCTAGATGGTGCGTACTGTACCATTCCAATACTGTTATGATGATGATAGTTGCACAATGTTCCCGATATAGTTGTGTAAGGCGGCTAGAAAACTCTTTAACAATAGCATGTGTGTCGACGTCGAGTCGACGATGTGCCGACTCAATCAAAGTAGAGGGAGGGATCAAAACCTGCAGTTCATTGGGCGTATCAGTATAGACTTGCTGGTGTGTCGGAGGACCAAATGGGTTACCAGTTATTCCGTGTACTTCTAGAATAGCGATTTCGTGCAAGTTGAAATGCGGAGAGAATTGCTTCTCGTCATCATGAATGGATGTTGCAAGCTACTGCACACAAGTCGATACTGAGCTGACAACATCAACTTCATTGGCATTTATCAAACATCTTAATCAATTATCTATATCCCTCAATATTCTTTGTTCTCTCGCCCTCCACATGGAGACACTCCCTTAGAGGGGCGCCTCTGGCCTGGTACTTCCAGACGCTTCTTCGACCTTTATACGTTTAGACGCTCCGTCGAGTTCGGTACCTTCAGTCGACAGCGAATTTGACCCAGATCGCTTCCAAGGCCTCGAGTGCATCACTCCGCGGTTTTCCAGTTCAACGTGATCTCCTCGCGAGGACATATCGAATACCATCTCTACTCTGCGATGAACTTGACGCTTTTCGTGATAGCCTTCGCGGCCGAGAAGTAGCTCTGCCCTTGTAAAAATACCGCCTTCGAGGCTCTCTGGATAGACACATATTTGAGTGAATGATGGTTTGAAATCGTTGATTCCGATACCGCCGACACTCTGGTATTTATAAATATCCCTTTTGCTCCCAAGGGAATAGCAACTGTTCTTTATGTATTTTGTAAGGTCATCTTGAACTGATTTCGACACCATCGCCCGTTGCAGGGCGAGGTCGGTTAAAACGATTGTGTGATCCATCAGTTGGAATGATAAATCAACAAAAGTATTCCCAGATTTCTCAGCTTCTCCAACCTTCACACTAATCTTTTCCACTACACCCGGAATGTCCGCGCCAGGGGCATTCACATAAGTACCAACAGAGGGTAGAGGGGGACTTCCCTTCCTCGACCGAGGATGAGGAACTGACGACCCTTTGATTGTAGCTATCACCACATCACACGCCAGGAGAAATATCAGGCATTCGAACAACAAGAGACGGCACATTGATACAGTGAAACGGTATAGGAAACTAGAGGAGACAGATGGAATGTATTATCGAGCATTGTTGTCTCGCTCGAAGGTGTGGCGTTTGCAGGCGAAAACCCAAGTCATTCACACTCCTAGCAGGAAAAAATCAAGAAGATCGAGGAAATATTATTGAATTATACCGTGCCACGAGCGCGATTGTGTAATTAACTCCGGTGTTTGACTGGGCCGGTCAGGAACTGATCGGGCAACTGTTGCCATGCAAGATTACTACTTCTCAAACCTCTGATCTGCGAGTTTGGGACAGACAGTAGCCGAAAAACACAACACGGGACCCGTACACTGGGTCCCTGATTCGTGGCCTTCGGCAACTGCAACCTCTGCCTCTCGCTAGACCTCGGTTAAATATGGAAAAAAAACCGTGTACAATGCCACGAGCTGACTCGTGTTCTCCGCGGAAGCCGTCATACTCTGCAATGCAGAGTCTGCATGTATTTACACGAAACGGACCAATATTCGAACGCCCGAAACTTGTGGATCTGCACAATCGGGACATGAGCTGAGAACTCTCCGATATATATGAGCGGCTTGGGAGACTCACGATGTGAATCAGTGATCGTTCGTTCGGATTATGGGCGTCCTTGTTAACTGGCAACCGTCTTTATAGTGGAGTGGTGTTTTCAACAGGGACGGTGTTGTTGGTTGAATCGTTACTGAAGCAGTTGATGCCGTTGAAGCTTAGCAGAGCAACAAAATATTGCAGCATCAGCATAGCTGATTATGGCTGATTATTAATCACGTTGTAACCAGGCGGACCCGAGTGATAGGCAGATGCGCATTTAGAGATGATATGAATGTCATATCATTCATGAATTGACATGAACCGTCAAGAATTTCCTCATATCCATCAACACGTGATAGTAGAGCGTGTGTATATTCTACCACACTCGTGTCAGAGAAGCGGTGACAAGACTGATGTTCATGACTGGCCGCAACGAGCTGTCGCATTCTGCCAGGTTGAGTTGATCCGCAGTGTATTATGAACAAACTATGACTGAAGTTCAGGTTTCGTTAGATACACTGTATCTACATGTACTGTCAGTACATGCAATCTAATTTGAAGTTCTCGGCAGTGCTTATACTGGCTCAGTTGTTGAATGGATTCTCCCAGCAGGATGATTAGTGTTCAAGTATGCGGTGTGGCTGAAAACTTCAAGACGCACGTAGCA